GAATTGCCAGAAATTGAAGATGGCGGTAAGTGCGATGATATTTAAATTTTAAAATACAAAAAAGTAGTTATTTTTAAAATTGTGAATATTTTTTTAATGGAATAACTTACTATTTTAATTGATTTTTTTATATGGTACTTTTTGTTGTGATTTATGTTTATTAAGTAGAAAAATAACTATATTCACAATTAGGAGCACAAATAAGATTTTGAATTGGCTACTTTTTTGTTTTGAGTACTGCTGGCAAGGTCCAACTGTCAGGCCTAATTTGTTTGTGTTAAAGTAAATAGGAAGTGCCAACACTGTATATCGAAAATTGTATTCTTAAAATTTGAACAGTAAAATTGAAAATTTTACAAAAATTGTATAATTTGGTTTTTGTTTTAGAATTTTTAGCAGAAGCCGTATATCTTAGTGTGGATCCATATATGAGAGCGTATGCACCAAGGATACCTATTGGTTCAACCATGATTGGTTCACAAGTGGCTAAGTAAGCAAAACATTCAATAAAATTTTATGTTCTCCATGTAACGTATGTCTCAAAAGTTTTAGGAAGAAAAGTAATGGTAAAAAATTTGCTAAAATTTTTAAATTATTTTGTATTTTAACAACATGACTAAATAACTACGTTAATTATTTCTACTAAATATTCACATGACGTAATATGGTCCTTGCATGTGCCATCAGTCTTTGAACAGTAGCGATATCGACTTCCCAGATTTTATGGTATATTCTGCGCCTTAGTTGTTCCTCATTTTGGGCTTCCCAACTGCCATCGTACACTTTTATTCTCACTATAGACCAAAAATCTTCAATAGGTCTCGTCTGAGGCACATTTGAAGGGTTGTCGACCTTGGGAACAAAATTGATGCCATTTGCAGCTAACCAGTCTGTCGTTCTTCTGGCGTTCTGGCGTAGTGAGATGAAGCTAAATCAGGCCAGGATATTATTTGGTCGTTGCGATGATGAGTATCAATAAAATTCCGTAGCTTTGTAAGACATCTACCGATGTAAATTTTAGCATTGATAGCTTCACCACGAACACGTCCAACATACGGCTAAGAAACACTATTATTCGATATAGCGCACCACTCCAAGATTTTATCTGGAACATTTTGTACATTATTTGTATAGAACCCATCATTATCTTTGATCTCAGAATTGAATAATGTGAAATATTTTTCATCATCAATAACAACAACTTTACCAGAAAAATGAACACGTCTCAAAGCACGGCAATATCTCGAAATTCTTTCCAACTGATTGTCGCTATATTTTGGTGCCTTTCTTCGTTTTCAATACTGAATACTATTTCTGGAGAATGTTCTACAAACAGTTGCTTTTGAAACATGAAATCTTCGACCTAACTTTCGCACTGACATTCCAATCTTGTTCTTTGCTGCTTCAATTAATCTTCGTTTATTTGCTCGACTCAAAAGTTTGGGGCGTCCACTTTTTGGTAAATTTATGTAAGGTATACCCTCCTCGCATTCTTTTATTGTCTGGTAGATTGTCAAAACAGATATATTTTGGCGCCTATACATTGTGACAATATCACTCTTAGGTACTCGTCTAACCAACTAATAAATACCTTTACGAATATCCAGCTTGTACGACATCTTACTTAAATATTTTAACATAAATAACATGTAATATTAAACTTCAAACACTTTGATGCTATTTGTAACCTGATGAGACGTTACTTACTGTAGGTGCGTTTTATTGTAAAATTTTCCGAAAACTTTTGAAATACAGGTTATGTAATTTTCTTATATTATGTCCGGATAATAACTGGAAACTCATTTAAAATCTCTTTTAGGATTACAGAAAGCAAAAATCCTGATTACCCAGTGGGTAAGTATGTTGTAGCAAATTTTGGATGGAGAACACATACCATTTCAAATGGAAAGGAAGAGGGTGTTGTGTTTCAACCTTATATTCTACCAGATTTTGAAGGCTTGCCGATTTCCTATGGTATTGGGGGTTTGGGAAGAATTGGGTGAGTCAATCATAACATTGAAGATGTAGAAAAATAGTTTTTTGCAATTTTATATCAATTCCTCTAATAAAAATATTTTTAGAAATACCGCCTATTTTGGTTTACTAGACATCTGTAAACCCAAAGAAGGAGAAACCGTAGTAATATCTGGTGCAGCAGGAAGTGTAGGTTCAATAGCAGGACAAATAGCAAAAATTCAAGGTTGTACGGTAATAGGCATCGCAGGATCAGAAGAAAAGGGTAAATGGTTAACAGAAGAACTTGGTTTCGATCATTTTATTAATTACAAAACTGACGATGTTGAAAAAGCTTTAAAAGCCGCAGCACCCAATGGAATTGACTGTTACTTCGATAACGTAAGTAGAAGAATTTCTTTTATTTTATTAGTCAATTCAGAACAGAAATTAATTCATTTAGTAATGTCTAGCATCTACTATTCCATTTTTAAAACTATTTTATTTCTTTTAGTTGCATTTTAATTTTAGATACTTTTTAAATTTTCTCACTTGTTTTCAATTTTTTTATATTGTTTTTAGGTTGGTGGGGATATCAGCTCAACTGTCATCTATCAAATGAATCATTTTGGACGTATTTCTGTTTGTGGATCTATTTCGTCTTACAACAGTATAAATGAACCTGAAGGTACAATTCTTCTCTGTCTATAATTTAATTAACCAATTTATCACTCCTCTACCTTATTTTTCAAGACCTCAAATGATAGAACAGAGCAAATTATCTGTGTAATGCTTAATTATATATTTTTTTAGATATTCTTATTCAGTTCCCTCTAGTCTTCAAACAGCTGAGGATGGAAGGCTTTAACGTTTCTAGATGGTCTGATAGACATATGGAAGGAATAAAACAGAATCTTAAGTGGATTAAAGAAGGAAAATTGAAGTGTCGAGAAACTGTGACAAACGGATTTGAAAATATGTTCGAAGCATTTACAGAAATGCTTAAGGGGAAAAACGTTGGCAAAGCCGTTGTTAAGGTCTAGATAAAATAAATTGTTTAGCTTGTGTTTTGCTTTATTTTACAAAGATAGCCTAAGAATATTAATTTTGAAAATTTGTTGATTTAAATTTAAAAATCAATACAAATTACAGGGTACTTCATTTAGTATTTCCCAGAAAGAACAGAAAAACGTCTCAGTTATAATATGTGAATGGACCACTGTCAGCCTAGAGAATATAGAACCATTATATCCACTTTAGGATACGCAATCATACAGCAAAATATACATGGGGCTGCTCACTAGAAATAATACTATCTCCAATGCTCATGTTAGTTCTAGTAGGCGACCTATTTAAAACACTGTACAAAGAAGGCTACCAGTGCCTGGGATACTAGAACAAACTTAATTATCGTCAGAAGGCGATTGGCAGGCACAGTCTCGGTGCGTTCTCAAACAGCTTTAAAGGTAATGAGAAATGGTTGTTGAAAACAGGAGCAATTTTCCATTACCGCACAAAAAACAACAGTTGCACCATTAAAAAAAAACGGTTAATTATAGGATTAAAATCACTAGTACTAAACAACTGCTAAACAACATGGCTATTCTATTTGTCACAAAAGTCAAATACCTCGGGGTTATATTTGACCAAAGGCTGACATGGAACCAAGAAACTCATATTCAAAGCTATAATAGCTGTCGTAAACTGTGGAAGACTATGCAGGAAAAACTGGACAAGGGTGATAAGATCCATGATAACCTATGGGACACCAAGTAAAAAAAGGATAATATTCCAGGAATGCCTACTGATATAGCCATAACCACATACATACAAATTACAAAAACATTTTCAACTTCAAATAACAGTACTAGAATCCTGAAAAATGAGACCTCCCACACAGGTTGAACTCGTCTGGAATATAGATAGTTCAAAAACCAAGGATCAAGCCAATGCTGGAATCTTTGAACCCAAGTCAAGAACTACTATAATAGCGAACTAATAGCCATAAAGAACTGTGCCTAAGAAATAATAAAGCAGCAAGTGTCATACAATACTACTATCAACTAGTCTGATAGCCAACTCTAAAGTCAATTCTAACACCAGAAGTCAAATGACGATTGGTGAAAAACTGCTTAGAAGATCTAAAAGAGTTGTGTAGTCAAAAAGGTGGTCTTATCTTAGCTTGGGTGCCAGGCTACAAAGGAGATATCGGAACAACGAAAAAGCCGACGAACTAGCCCGAGAAGGATCAGATAAGGCCATGACAGGACACGAACACTTCTGTGTAATTGCTAAGGCACTGTACAAAGCATTCATCAAACAATGGATACAATATCGACTTAGGTCTTGTGGAACAAGTTCCAGGATAAAAGAGCACCAAGAAAACGTCGGCTAACTTTACGAAATCAAAAACACCTTTAGGATAACAGTGGGCATTCTTACGGGACATTGTAGCTTAATGACTGTCATTATTCCAGCAGAAAACACCACTTTGTGCCGATTTTGTGAAGAAGAGGAAGAGGTCTTGTACTAGTGTGAAGAAAGTCAGGCTATATTGAGGTTTCTACTAATAGGCGAAGAAAAGCCAAAACCATATAGCAACATGCGGGAGACAGTGTCATGTTTTTTGTTTTATTATCCAAGTTAACATGGGCTTTTAATATCAATTCCTTTTTTCATGTTCAACGTAGATATAGGCAAACAAAATGTGTATAATACACTATTTAAAACAAATTCTCAGTTCTTACATCTATTTCTTGAAATAATGTAATCGTAGAAAAAATCTTGCGTGCATTTTACACGAAAAGTTCATTGTAATTTTCTGTCTCAAGAAGCAAATTATCACTTTTCGTTCTTAATACATAAATAAGCTACATATATTTGAAATAAAATAATAACTTTTGACTTCATATTATCTATTGATATCTATCGCACTATTTAATCTTTCAAAGCCACAATTTTTTATTATAATTAATTTCTAAGTAGTTACTATCTAATAATTATTTTCTTATCACATCACAACCAACTTGATTGATAAAATTTTGATTAATCATTTTAGGTGTAAGGTAGATACTCCTATTACATTACTTACCTTATATTACTAGTTTCGTTAATATTTGTACAAATCAAGATGGTTATAGCCAAAGTTTACAAATATCTATATAAGTTTCGAGGATTTCCGAAATTTTCTGATTTAAAATTGGTAGAAGAGGAATTACCAGAAATTGAAAATGGCGGTAAGTATGATGAAATTAAAATTTTAAAATATACTATTCATAACGAAAAAGTAGTCATTTTTCAAAATGTGGATATATTTTTACGACTTGCTATTACAATTATTAACTTTTTCTATATAGTACTTTTTGTTACAAATTATATTTATTAAGTAAAAAAATAACTTTGTATTTATAATTAGTGGCACAAATAAGACTTAAAAAGAGTATCAATGCCACACTGTCGGGCTTACTTTGCTTGTGTTAAATAAGGAGTGTCAACGCTGTATATCTTAAATCTATTCTTCCAAAATAAATATTAGAGAAGAACCTTTTCAGAGGATTGAAGAAGTAATTACAAAAATATAAAATAATTCGCATTTGATTAGAAAATCTACACGACAGATTTTAAAAAGACCAAGAAACTGCATTTATCAAAATAGTGGTCATTTTGAGCAATTTATTTAGAATTAAATTTTAAGCATTAGGTTTTTCATCTCTTTTCATTAGTTGGCGTTTTTGTTGGTTGTTGTTTTACATAGGAGATAGAGGGTAAAAATGTATCAAGAATCACAGCAGTGAAAATGGTGTGTATACGAGTCAACAAGAAAACCAACCTATTGTCCAACCGACAGAAATAAAATACCTGACTTACTGGAATCCTATATCACTAGAAAAATACCCAGAAACTTTATTAAAATAGAAGAACAGTTCGAATTTACAAGAAAAAATGTGTTAGATGAAATAATGACAGCAGACATAAAAGAAGACAAAGAAAAACTGGACAAGATCAAATAAACAAAAATCTGTCATCTTTGCAGATCATCTCAAAATAGTTTTTCAACCAAATGAAGAACAGGGCCTCGATTTACTAAAAGAAGAAACATACTAGAAATTCCTAGGGTAATGCCTAAAGAGGTTACTAAGAAAATATCAATTATAAGAAAGCTCCCGAGTATGATCTGATCACTAGTATAATAAACGCTGCAATTCGACTAAAACATGTACCTAGTATTTAGAAAGTCGCTGAAATTATAATGCTTTCCAAACCTGGAAATCCACCAAATGAAGTAAAGTCCTATAGACGTATGTCCCTGTTACAAGTGCTATCTTAACTTTTTGAAAAACTTTTACTAAAAAGTTGAAACCCATGATAGATAGTAAGATCTGCACCTCACTCTTTCTAGATGTAATAAAAACATTTTCTATTTATTTCATTTTGTATCAAGGATTACAACTTAAAATTTGAACGATAAAAATAAAAAAAAAACAAATTATATAAATTGTTTCTTTTAGAATTTTTAGCAGAAGCCGTATATCTTAGTGTGGATCCATACATGAGAGCCTATGCACCAAACTTACCCATCGGTTCAACTATGATTGGTTCACAAGTTGCTAAGTAAGCAAAACATTAAATATAATTTGATGTTCTCCATTTATGTAACTTCTTTAGATTCTGTCCGCATAATAACAGTAAACTCTTTTTAAAACCTCTCTTAGGATTACAGAAAGCAAAAATCCTGACTACCCAGTGGGTAAATACGTTGTAGCACATTTTGGATGGAGAACACATACCATCTCAAAGGGAAAGGAAGAGGGAGCTGTTTTTCAACCTCTAATTCTACCTGATTTTGAAGGCTTGCCAATTTCCTATGGTATTGGGATTTTAGGATTAGTAGGGTGAGTCTATCGTAATATTCCATATATGTAGAAAAATAGTCTTTTGTAATTTTATGTCAACCAATTCCTCTACAATCATCAAATAATAAAAATATTTTTAGAAATACCGCCTATTTTGGTTTACTAGATATCTGTAAGCCTAAGGAAGGAGAAACAGTAGTCGTTTCTGGTGCAGCAGGAGGTGTAGGTTCAATAGTAGGACAAATTGCAAAAATTCATGGTTGTAAGGTTATAGGAATCGCAGGATCAGATGAAAAGGGCAAATGGTTGACGGAAGAGCTTGGTTTCGATCATTTTATTAATTACAAAACTGACGATGTTGAAAAGGCTTTAAAAGCCGCAGCACCCAATGGGGTTGACTGTTATTTTGATAATGTAAGTAAAATAATTAATTAAATTTTATAGATTATTTCAAAACAGATATTAACCAAGTTGATTTAGTCTCTAGCATCTACTTACACGTTTTTAATACTTTTTTCATTGGTTATTTAATTTTTTGATACTTTTAAATTTTCTCACTTGCTTTATAGGTTTATGTTTTTTTTTTATATAACATTACTACACATTTTTTATCGTTTTTAGGTTGGTGGGGATATCAGCTCAACTGTCATCTATCAGATGAATCATTTCGGACGTATTTCTGTTTGTGGATCTATTTCGTCTTACAATAATATAAATGAAGCTGAAGGTAAAAAAAAATCAATAACGCTTTCTAAAATATTCAAAAATAAAAAAAAAAACTTATAGATGTTGGTCTCCGTTAACTCTTTTAAAATTGTTTCCCACTCTCTTGAAAGGAATACCAATTGCAAGAGTCCCAGTGGTTTTATAGCTTTTTACCCTTTTTAGATTAGTAGTATCTGCTTCCTTTGACATACTTCTTTTGTAACTTGGGCCTGTAATATCCTTCTTTAATCTTTACCAGCGTCTATGTGACTCCTTGATGTCCTGTTGTAGAGTTATTATAGTGTGAACCAAATCTCTTCTACCCAATGTTTTAGAATAACGATTACATAAAATAGTGCCAATAAGTATAAAGTTTTTCAAATTATGTGACCATGTATTTTTTTTAGATATTCTTATTCAGTTCCCTCTAGTCTTCAAACAGCTGAGGATGGAAGGTTTTAACGTTTCTAGATGGGCCGGTGATAGATATATAGAAGGAATAAAACAGAATCTTCAGTGGATCAAAGAAGGAAAATTGAAGTGTCGAGAAACTGTGACAAACGGATTTGAAAATATGTTCGATGCATTTACAGAAATGCTTAAGGGGAAGAACGTTGGCAAAGCTGTTGTTAAAGTCTAGATAGAATAAATTGTTAAGCTTGTTTTTGCTTTATTTTACAAAGGTAGTAGAATCAAATATATTGAATTTTGGGAAATTAAAAAATATTGATTCATCCACTTATAGAAAAGTTATCACCGAATATATCCTTTGTTAACAATTTTTTGTTGGTAAAAAGCCCATAATTACGTTTTTAATAAACATAAACACTACATACGACAATTATTTTCCAAAGTATTATCATTTAAAATAAAAATGAATAATATTTATAGATAATAAATCATTAGATGTTATAAAATTTAAACAAAATGTGTTGCTCATGGTTAAAGGAATTAGTTATTGGGTTTTTTGACTGTATTTTCCTTTGTCTAAAAGGGCTATTTTATCATGTCATCCCTAACATACTTGAGATTTTTAGGGTTTGTCGCTGAAGATGAAGAAATTTAGGTAAATATATTTTCTTTATAATTAACAACATTTTTAATGAATGTACATTTTTAGATTTGAAGTCATTCAAGTAAAGAAAATTAACAATTAACTATTAAATGTAAAATTTTTATAATGCTTTCATTATGTTTTACCTGTTTTGTATACACTTTGTTGATATTAAACTTTAAAACAAATAGAAAAATGTGATAATGTTTCAGGAGTGTTTGAAATTATTCAGCCACCATTATGCATATTCTTTAGCTTTTTTAAAACTTTTCATGTTATCGCTAATATTTTACTGTAAAAACTTAATGTTATGAAATTTGGGTCAGAATAGAATAGAGTCGAATAGATTATATGTTTGTCAAATATGGTCAGCCTTTTAATTGAATTTGAAATTAATAACTTCAATGGAATAAAAACTATATAATTCTCTCAATCTCATTGACAGTTCCTAAATCAACAATTTTCATCATCAGAAGAACTTTCATTTCTAATCACTCTTGATTCTTAAGAAATATTCATCTTTCCAATACCTATCATATCGCCACCATCATCAATATATTGAACAATACAAAATAAGAATACAAAATTAAAAATCTATAAGCGATCAGAGAAAGGGAAGGTTATCATCTAAAGGTATTCAAATTCAGTTAGGAATTATGACAGAAGGAATCTTCTAAGCGTCTTCAGATGAACTTGGGAACTACGTGGAATGTCCAAAAGTGCGAAAAGACATTGCTTGATGTAATTAGAAAAGGGTTGCAACTATCAGGGATCATAAGGTAATAGCAGTATGAAAATAGTATGAATTGTAGCATCAAAGGGAAACGACTCAAAAATGTATAATGATGGTAACGGATGTACCTGTGAAAATTGCCACGAGTATCAACTGACGTATGTCAGTTTCTTGAAAACTGCTTGAATTATCGATAGCAACCGGTTTATTATGATGGCAGCAGTGATATGAAAGCTGAAATCGTTGACGTTCCACAGGGCACTGTCTGTTGACCTGTGATATTTACCATATATGTTTTACAGTTGATTCAAAAACAACATAGAATATGTCATTAGGGGGTTTTCTGATGACACCACGATTTTTATACGAGAGTTAGGTCTTACATATAAATCATATTTCTAAAAAATGAAATTCAAAAGTGAATAAAACTATAAGTGAATGCCCGTATCTCCTAAAAAGGAATTATAAAACTAATTTGTAATACAATTAAATTTATAATAATTAATTGTACTTAAAAATTTGAGTTGTATAGAGTAATATTGTTATAAAGAGTTCTACGAAAGAAAGAATTTACATTATATGCAAAATAAACTTTGAACCGTTCTTCCAAATTAGCACGAAATTGCATATTTCATTGAAACAATATAGTTAATCTTCGCTGTTATTAATATAGAACAAAATTAATATGGTTACGTTTGTCCAATATCCCAGTTGGTAATGCAGGAATCTCCCAGCGGACTCCCGGCTTTTAATCTTACTAGGCACACACACTGACAAAGGTTTTTATTAAATATTCATCATTTCACTATCAACCGCCACGATATTAACAGCTTTCAGTCTGTCATAGGGCCGTTTATTTCTAAATATAAATACCTCAAAATTGGACAATTTAATAACGCATGAGAACATAAAAATTCATCGAATTGGCTTTAGAAAACTAAGCTCTGAAGTTTACGTTTTATATCAGCTATAGTTTATGTGTTTGCATATTAGACTAGTATGGCTGAAAACACGATAAGAAATATTTGAACAGAATTATCAAAAAGATGTAGATATCAAGTGTTCTAGAAATGAGTGTATTAAAATCAATTAACTGTAAGGATGAAAAGATAGTAATATCTTTTTGTTTCCTACAAACTTCTAGAGAAGATATGCTCAAATATTGTTGCAATTCCGCATAATTGTAGTAAATATTAAATTTAAACGCTAAGAAAACTGTATCAAGTTTGCTTTTATGACTTAAGTAATGTAGGAATCAGATTGAGAAGCAATAATCAAGTTTGGTCCTGACTAAAGAGAAGTATAGATTTTTAATTGTGTTCAGATTAAAAAAAACCGCTTGACAAAGCTCAGCTTTATCATTGATTTTTGAACTGTAGCAGTAATAAGGCCATTAAAGCGCATGGAAGATTAGAAAATTTAAAAGTGAACCGTAGATCCCTAATTTGATCAACATGCATCAAAACATGATCGAATAACCTATAATTAAAAGATATTAAAGGATGAATACGACAAAATCGAATATTGTGACATTTGATAGTATTTAAATCTATGCCATTACAAGCAAATTTATTCAAAACAGTTTGGAAATTCTGGGTATTATCATAATCATTAATGATCTTGAAGCACTTCAAATCAAATCGAGATGGTGGTGTAGCGGTCTATCGCGCTTATATTCATTTATAGGCAAGTTTATGAGTCTGAGACTGCTGGGTTTCGAATCCCAGACCGGACCATGTGGATTTTTAATTAAATTGCATGGTTCGGTTTAGGATTTGATGTATGGCGTATTAATAGAAATTCAAATTCTGTTGATATGACATGCAGATTAAAAAAATTCGCCATACATTATCGTCTCGATGATGGTGGGTGAGGTTTTCCGGGTTTTCCTCACCTGTAAATCAAATGGCACCATCAATCATGTTTAAGTCGCCCCGGAGCGCTACGGCAAATAATAATAATAGCCGTCCCTTCCCCTACACAAGTCGTTCAGTCGACTTCAGGGGTTGAAATTCACTCGTAAGGGGGTGAATTAGGGAGAGTATTATTATTATTATTATCTGCAAATAATAGAGCTTCAGTGTCAAGAGAACATAATGTGATATCATTGATAATCAGAGAGAATAGTAGTAACGGTCCCAAGTGATACCTCTGAGGGCCTTTCGAGGTTACTGAGAAAATTTTAAACTAATAATGATTAACTCAGACTGTTAAGTCCTATTCGTTAGGTAATTACCTAGCCCCTACAAGCCCCATCCAACATATACCATAAAAACTGAGCTTATGAACTAAAAGATCATGCTTGTCAAAAGCTTCGGAAAAGCCGGTATACACAGAAGATATCTCTTCGTTGCCCAGTTTAATCTGGGTTTCAAAAAAGGGCACAGATGCACTACGGCATAGCTTCATATTGTTGATTATATGATCACCTCAACAGACAATAGTGAATGTAAATTCATACTATTATTAATACTTGGCATTTTGCACCATTTACTTTTCTGTGGCAAAGAATTGAACATTATTAAATAAAACTTATCCAAAGATCTCCTTAGAATATATCCTGATACAACACAAATGTCATGAACCATCTGATTGTCAAAATTCTTGTACTCAATTCTTTTATCATTCTCAAAAATCTATCATGTTCATCTTCAAATACAAAATTCATGTAATCTGTTAACATGCACCGTTCATCTCTTATCCATAATGGCTCGAAGAGAGATTATCCAGATCCACATAGGCCAAGCTGGCGTCCAGATGGCCAACGCGTGTTGGGAGCTGTACTGCCTGGAACACGGCATAAAACCTGACGGTACCATGTACGATCCAAACCATGCCGAAGATAGTTATAGTTCTTTTTTTAATCTTACCGCCTACGGACAAGCAGTACCGAGAGTCACTATGATCGATTTAGAACCAACTGTAATTGACGAAATTCGAACTGGGTGCTATAGGTATGTATTTAAGATTATATTGAACTGCATTCATGATTTTTTTTTTAGAAAACTTTTCAGTCCTTCGCTTCTGCTTACCGGTAAAGAAGATGCGGCTAATAATTTTGCTAGAGGAAGGTACGGTATTGGAGAAGAAATGCTGGAATTAAGTTTAGATAGGATAAGGAGGATGGTTGAAGAATGTGGAAATATGCAGGTAACTTCATTTAAGCAGACAAAGGATCTCCTTAAAGTCACTTCAGATCTCCTAGTACATGTTTTAATGTGTCTCCATTTTCTCCTGTCTTTTGTTTTCTCTTTGCAGTTGTTGATCTTTAAAAACTACATCTTTTAGCACATCTTTCATCCATTTTATATTTGGTCTGCTTCTTTTCCTCCTATGCCACAGTAGTTCAATATCAGATTGAAATTAGCCAATTCTGGACAAAAGAATAGATTTTATAAAGTACAACATCACGAGTCTTTAATATAACATATTTTATAGATGTATGCTAAATCACTATCATTACTGAATATCATATTTCCATCAATATCAAATATATTTGTGTGCCAATAAATTATTTACCTACACTAAAGATAAAACTACCATATGTCAACCATTATCGTCTCCAAAATGCAAGACCAGATGGTAAACCACTTGTTTACAACTTTAAAATTGGATAGCCACCGTTTAACCAATGAAATCATATCATCATTCCACTGCCATCAATGCAAAAGTTTATTCATGCGTTTCCCATGGCTCTCATAATGTCCAAAACTATTTTGACATATCTTTATGTAAGACGCCATGTCCTTTTGTATACTTTCAGAGTCTTTGAGACTGCATAAAGTTGTTTACCTACAAATGTATTTATTTTAGGGTTTCATTATATTTAGAGCTTACGGAGGAGGGACCGGTGGCGGTTTAGGCTCTCTCTTCCTCCAACAACTTAGCCAAGAGTTCACCAAAGTCTCTATCTTAGAATTTGTCCTGTTTCCTTCACCAGTACTTTCAAATATAATAGTAGAACCATACAATACCGTCCTTGCCACGCATGCTTCCGGAGAATATCAAGATCTTGCTTTTATTATGGACAACGAAGCCATGTATGATATATTGTGCGAAAAGTTAGATATTTCTAGACCTACTTTTACCAATGTCAACAGAATAATAGGTAAAAAACACTTTTATATCCATATATCTTGCATTTGTTAATAGTTACATAAAAATAAAGGTTATTAACTTTTCTGCTATGTTGAATATGTTAGGTAAATCATATCAGTAACTATGTTAATATACTGATTTTTATACTGGCCAACTCTTATTGTTGTAGGACAAATTGTATCCAACGTGACAGCTTCTCTAAGATATGAAGGCGCCATTAACGTGGATCTTAGGGAGTTCCAAACCAATTTGGTACCATATAAAAGAATACATTATCCGCTTATAACATTTGCACCCTTCATTCCATTGACCAGACTTTTCCACGAACAGTCATCGGTAGCGTCTTTGACAAATTCATGTTTTAGTAATGGCAGCCAGTTGATTAAGTGTGAACTTCAAGCAGGTGAGAAAGACTGTTAATTGCGTAAAAATAATATGAAAAGATTTGTGTATTGGAGTAATTCTTTCTTAATATTTTCTTTAAGGTAAATACATGTCTTGTTGTCTGCTTTATCGTGGTAACGTAACTCCTGTAGATGTCAACAACGCCATAGTCAGCCTCAAAAATAAAAGAGTTGTGCAGTTTGTCGATTGGAGTCCAGCAGGTTACAAAGTGGGCATTAATTACATGCCGCCAGTTGCTGTACCAGGTTCGTATTCGATTTGTAAATATTTCCAACAAAGCTTATGAGAACTTTTTTTTATCCAGGTGGTGATTTGGCCAAGATCAATAGAGCAGTCACAATGTTGGCTAATACTACAGCCCTCAAATTTTCGTGGCAGAAGCTTTTGAGTAAGTACAACCTTATGTTGAGCAAGAGAGCGTTTGTGCACCATTTTGTTGGAGAAGGCATGGAGGAAAGTGAATTTTCGGATGCCAAGGAAGATTTAAAGGCGCTCATCTCTGATTATAGTGAAATAGACACATAATGGAATAAAGACACAAGCTGTATAGATGATGTTGATTGACACTGGAACCATTAATAAGACGACGAGTTTGTATTTAAGCAGAAACGAATTAAACTATTAAAACTTCTAAATATTTCTCTCTCTTATTACAGGATGTACCACTCAAATTCGAATTTAATATACTCTATTTCAATTCCATGTATGGTATTAATATAAAACGAAATATATTTCTAAATGTAAACCCCATACAATAAATAAATGATTACACAAATGAATATGAAAAATATCGGTGTATACCAACTTATATCTATGTATTCTAAACTCGCAACATATCTACTTATTAAAATTGAATTCACACGATATACAAACGCTCTTATTTAGAATTATGATGACATTTATGCAGATACCGAACCAAGCAGAGTTAGTTATGTGATTATATGTAGCCTGGTAATGACCGTGTTGTGTCCCAGAGCGATCTTCCTACAATTAACATAAAGCAGGCACGGTTAGTGAAGACGGAGATGATAACGGCAGAGTAATTGAGATCATTATTAGCGAAAACTTGCACATCCCAAGTCAACTGTCATTATGATAACATTCGAACTATTCCGATGTTAAAATAAGTTTGTTTTGGACTTTATATATTACCTACTAGCTCACTAGTAAGGTCTTCCTGTTTCGCACATGATCTGGTAAAATAAGAAATTTAATGAAAATTATATTTTTTTTTTAAGTTATATATTCAATATTAATTATAAATAAATATTTGCTTATCGTATTGAAACGAAAAATTGAATTTGTAAAGGAAAGCAGCTTTGGAAGGTATACAGTAAAAACAAGCTGTTGTTAAAGATGTAGATTCTCGTAAAAGCTATAAATTACTGAGAAGAATTTTTAATTCACCTTGATTTTGGTAAACGTGGAAAATTGATTTTTTTATTGAAATATCAACTTCAAACGCCATTGACACAGATACAATACTATTAAACAATAATTATATACTTATAATTACAGTATAGAGGTAATATTTAATATAAAAATGGAATTAATTAAATTTTGGAACTCAAGTTAATGTCTCTTAAATATTTAGAAACTTTAAGTATCTGATCCGATTAGTTAAGAAATTCTGAATGGTGCTAAAAAGTCCCAACTATTTCTCTTTCGACTGAGTACAGCTGACATTCATTGAGAAGATGTTTGACAGTGATGACATAAATGAGGTACCCCTATGGGAGGTTCTAAGGTCAAAAGATGGCTGTGAGTGAGATTTGTGTGTCCAATTCGTACTTCATGGTAATAAAGAGGAGAACGGCTTGATAGATTGTCGGATTTCATATAATTTCGAAGGTCTTCTGGTCCAGTGTTCATGACGAATGGCTCCTATGTATCAAAACATTTTTTTAACCTTACTCAGTTAAACTCTTTTGATAGGAAAATTCGATATTAATGCTTATTTTGCTGCATAGACTGCCAGTTTGTTGCCGATAATGCCAACATGTGAGAGGACCTACAGTACAGTTACAGTTGTTGCTTCAGAGGAAAGCTGTTGATAATGTTCATGTACGGCTTGTATGAGGGGACTAGAGCTGTAGATCTTTCAAGTGGATTTAATCGATGCAAGGGAAGTCGTGCATATTTTAATTTTTGGGTTACATAATTAAAAATTTGGAAGTACATTTGTGTAAACAATTGTTTGAGAGAGTAACTGAGCTTCCTACTGAATTGCTGTTTTTTGAGGCGTCGGTATATTTTATCGAATTTGGAGTTATGCATAAGATCTAGGAAGTTTTGTCTCACGAGCTCTTTGTAGGTGTCATATTTGGAGTATTCGGTAAATTTTTAGTAATAGGTCTATATTAGAAAAAAGTGGGGACAAAACGAGATAGACTGGTTGAATTATTCTGAATGTCTGAAGGTTTTCTATAACGAAATGAAATTCCAATGATTAGAAAATATTTTAGCTTCCTGATTTTAAAACATTTTTTATGATCAATTTATATCGGTTCCTTTATACATTTATCAATTTAAATTCAATCAATTTGGGTAAATTTTACGAAGAGTTCTGTTCCGGTGGCTGCATTTTGATACAATAATAATTAACTCGCATTTTATTAATTTCAACACAACAGAAATCCGTTCCCGCCATCTGAGAAAGACTTATTTCGGAGGTGTATTGTTATTAATAATCATTAAAGGAGGAAGATAGTATACATTTTGAAAAAGCTTTCACTGTAACGATAACACAATACCCAAATCCTTTCCGCGGCATCTCCCGTAATCGTAATACTTCCTCCGAATATTTCATTGCGGAGATTTAAATTATTAAATATGGATTAGCTACTGTCAGTGGCGTACAATCTCATATAAATTGTTAGTTATTATTTAATACCTAATGATCAAAATATACATTATGTTAATGTTTCATTCACTCTCGCCAGAAGAACAGTAAATAATAAACGATGTCACTGATTAGACAGAGGTGGAACAGTTTGCGGCAGATCACAAGTGGTAGAGGTATATATCTATCCAATCACGATAGGCAGGCAGTTGATTCATGAGAGTCTATCCTTATTTAACTCACGTGCAAATATAATTAAAAATCTCATCTCTATTTAGAAGGATCCATTGGTTAAAATATTGTATACGATGACTCACTACTATACTTAATAAAAGAGGCAAAAGTGCTAAAATTTTTACAATGAATGTACAGTCACACATATTAAATTGTAATGCAAACCTTGTACGTGAATGTGCAGCAACCCATTTCCGTAAATTTTATAGATGTGGCCTTCAACTGAAATAAGAATACTACGTAAATATATGAATAAACTTTCTATGACCGATAAACTGTCCTACCGCAGTAACCATTGAGACATAATAAAGTAGAGACGACATAAAAACTATTTTGCGATATGCCTCCCATACCTCGACCTTTTCAAATATATTATAGATATATTTTTGGAGAGCAAATTTTGTCTAGCAAATAAACTTTATCCCCAAAGTTAGTTCGCCTGGCTAGGAGATTCAATAATTTCGTTAGCTAATCGATTGTCGGTGAAAAATTCAAATCTCTAGAGATACGTCACTGACTGCAAAGGAATTAATTAACAATTTCCCAAAGGAACTGGTTCATATCAATCAAGCTTAACGTAATAGCTATTGTGAATTCATCATCTAATTGTATAGTGGTTCAGCACTGCTGTTATACCACGAACATTAACTAGATGTGAAAGATTTACTCCGTGTTTTAAATACCAAGTTTGCTTTGAATATTTATCGCCCAAATCTTAATATTGCCTGTTTTCGAGCAAAGAAAATTAAAATAGTTGATTAGCGAGAGGCTAATCCGAAACGAAGTTAATCTGGAAAAGCGGCATTCTTCTAAATATTGTGTTATTCGAAGTATATTCAATTAAATTATCACTTATATCCGTTAATTCAATTTTATGGGTTTTTAAGTATATAGTTTCATAAGTTTCATTAGATTCGGAGTATAGATTGCAGTGTCATCACCAAATGTTATGATAGTATTGTGCTCAAGATTAGTAATATCTCTAATATACAGCAAGTATTGGACCTTCAGGTATTCCTGCACCTTGACTTCTCTTACGTCAGTAAAGGCTACTTTCTATATATTTTATCCTGAGGTATTATTCTGGTACGTGACATTTAAAAAGTTAACGCATCAGTGATATGTTTAATTTCTGACTCAGGTTTATGCCATATTTTGTTGAAAGCCTTAGCTAGATCCAAAAAGAAAGTGAAACTTTTTTCTCTAGATATCTGTAAAATTAGCCAAGTTATATATTTAAGACCAAAATGATGGAGGCGAAATTAGGACCTTTTTCTCCGATAATAAGATAAAATATAGGGAAGAAATAACGTTGAATCATTATTAGTTTTCTGGCGTTAAAAACAAATATTAATTCAAAAAAAAAATATTTATAAATAAAAAAAATGGCAACAAAATAAAATTATTATTTCTAGGAGTTCCACAAGGGTCAGTATTGGGGTAAATATTGTTTATTTTATATGTCAACAGTGTAGACTCTTTAATAGGTAATATTCATTATGTTGCATATACTGACGACTTTTCTGTGACAATTTCATCAAATAACAGTGATGCGTTAAAAGTTAAAAATTCTTCTCTTTTACAAAAAATTTCTAACCATTTTAATAGTCTAAATTTGTTTTTTAACACTAATAAAAGCAATCTCATTAGGTTTCATAACCAGCAGAATATTCTGGATGATTTTAGCGTTGATATGAGTAATTACAGTTTTGATAGTAGGTACACGCGAAAGCGTTCGTTTTCTTGGGATTCATATTGACGAATTTCTTAACTGGAAGTATCACTGCAGTAAACTTGTGGGAAAAATTAATTCGTTAAAATATCTTTTTAATAATTTACGAGAAGTGCTGCAATCTCATTAGCTTGTTAGTGTTTACTTTGCTCAAGTCGACTCTTGACTTACATATGGAGTATGTCTCTGGGGTAATTCTACAGATGCTTCTAATATTATCACTGCAGAAAAGCAAGTAATACGATGTATAGCAAACATTTCACAAAGCAAGTCCTGTAAACCTTATTTTATAAACTACGGAATACTCCCACTTCCATCTTTGTACATTTTTGAAATTTGCATGTACATCTTTAAAAACAAAAGTTGTTTTATGACTAACAGAGATGTTCATAGTTATCAGACAAGACAAGTTGGTGAAGTGCACGTGTCTTATGCAATGTTGTACATTAGTTCCAACGCACCAAATTTTCTGGGTCCAAAATTGTTCAAGAAAAACCGAAACACAGAACTTACAGGGTCGGAACTAGTTCTGGCGAAACCAATACACCGAATATCTACTGCGCATGATCTAAAGGTTCTGGAAGAGCTCTAAAACAGTTACGAAAGTGAACCAAAACGAATTAAATCCCAATCCTCGACAGATTGTCGACAATTAGTTGTGGACTGGTTTATGTATGGTTTCAAGATTATTGTTGGAACAAAAATTATTGCGCAATACCCTTGTTAATTTTTTAAATTTTGTTCGTGTTGTCTAATATTCATTCCGAAAAATAAAATTTAACTTTCAACACTTGTACCTATTATAAATAGCTATTTGTCGTTTTAATTGTGCAAGTTTTTTCGTCAGATAACCTCGATAAAGCAAAATCACTTCTGTCTTCTGTACGATGTCAAAAAAACGAACTTTTTCAGAACCGCACTGAAGTAATACGTCCATCCTATGCCAGGTAATTTTCTAATTACTTTTTATGTTCGACGGTCGAGTTCCGAAAGAGTGATCTCACTTTCTGGACCCATAAAAAAGAGATAAATCTACTCTGGAAGTGCCACTTT